AGGGAACGAAGGGAGGAGAGGGGAGGGCGGGAGGGGAGGGGAGGGCGGGAGGAGAGGGAGGAAGGAGAGGGGAGGGAGGGGGGAGGGAAGGGTAAGAAGGAAGGGAGAGGGAAAGGTTAAGGTGAAGCTAAGGGCCTTACATCGTGCTAAGTGGAAGGTGGCTGTTGTGGAGGCAGTGAGGACAGGAAGAGGAGGTTTGAAACTCTGATCTCATCATTTCAAATTACGCAGGAAGAGGAGGTTTGAAACTCTGATCTCATCATTTCAAATTACGCAGCCTCAGGATCTGCAAGTTCCCTGCATCATCTCCTACCGCCAGCATCTCGTTAGACTTGGTGATGTCGAGGCTCGTAATCGCGTTCTCCAACTTCAGATAGCACTTGTCGAACCCCCGCAAGACGTCCCAGACCCTCACCGTCCCGTCTAGCGATCCGGAAACAACATACCTGACGGGCAATCAGCAATGGGCAAGAGCGAAACTTGGTGCGAAGGCAGTCACCTGATGTTTCTTCCGATCCTAGACTTCTGCCTTCCTTGACTCACTTCACTCTCGAGCAGGAAACACTGCAGCCTTCTCAGCATCTTGCCGGAAACCCCACACAGAGTCACCTCGGATATCGATGCTCCATGTCCGATGAAGTACTGCAGCGGCGTGCCGTGGGTCGCATCCCAGAGGATCATCGTGCAATCCTCTGAGGCGCTCAGAATCACCTCCCCCGATCGATCCATCTTGCAGTTGATGATGGCGGCTTTGTGGCCCTCGCACACCATGACCTCCGTCCCCATGTCTGTCGACCACGGCATCCTGAAAGCAGCGAGATTGAGAGCATGAAAGAGGAGTGGAGGGGATGCGCTGAAGGGGAGAGGAGAAGTCACCTGCAGTCCCAGATGCGAACTTCCTTGTCGTCAGAGCCCGTCGCGATGAACCCGGTGTCCGAGATGCTGAGGCAGCGGACGGCGAGGGAATGGGAAGCGAAGGAGAACAACTGCAGGAGGAGGATTAAGAACGACTCGTGCATGCCGCAGCTCTGACCTGATCCCCCGTTAGGATGTGAAAGATTCTTGCCGTCCGATCTGCTGAGCCTGCACAGACGAAGGGTCCAAAGGGCAGGAAAGCCAGGCAGAGCACGGCTCCTTCGAACGAGCGTATCCTGCAAGCACTAATCAAGAGCCGAGGCCTGTATCCTTCTCAACGAACCTCTTGCGCAGGAGCCCGCGGTCGGCGTGCCAGATGGAGATCGACTTGTCGTACGAGCCTGACACGATCCACGAGCCGTCGAAGAAGTAGGCCAGGCAGGTGATCCTGAACGTGTGCGCCCGCAGTTCGTGCTTGACGGCCCCCTTTTTCACGTCGATGATGTAGACCACCGAGTCCTCGCAACCCACAGCGATCTCCTCCTCCGACGCGCTCCAGCTGCAGCAGAGGAGGTACTGCTCCTTGGCCGCCCACAGCTCGAGCTTCTGCTTCAGGCTCATCTTAGTGAGCTTTCCTGAGTCTCGCTTGTACAGCTCCCTGCTCCTCGGGGAGTCAGGGTTGTATGTCAACTTCCATATGCACAGCGTTCGGTCGAGACTGCACGTGCACATGTGGATAGAGTCCTTGGTGAAGCTGATACCCTTGACCTCCTCCTCGTGGATCTGCTCGAAGGAATCTACGATGTAGTTCGAGACTTGCATCATCTCAAGGTAACCGTTGTCGTAGCCGATAGCGACGTACCTGGGAACAGCACGAGGAGAAGTCAAGAAAGTTCACAACTGTGCTCTCCCCTCACCTTCCGTTGGGTGTCGTTGCAAGCACCATCGCCTTCAGAACCTCCTTCTTGACCTTCTTCTGCACGGCGTTCAGCTCATGCAGCAGCGAGTAGCCCTCCTCGGGGGTCCAGAGCTTGTGAACCTCCTCATCCACCCCCCAGACGCGGACGAACTTGTCACGGCCACTTGTCAGCAAGGAACGGCCGTCACAGCTGAAGGTCACGGCCAGCACCCCAGCTGTGTGTCCTCGCAGGACTTTCCCTCCGATGGCCCTCCTCACGTTCCAGACACGGAGGGTCTTGTCCTTGCTCCCGGTGACGAGCCTGTTGGTCTTGGGGTTGTAGTCGACGGAGAGGACGGGCAGCTTGTGCCCGGACAGCAGGGAGAGCAAACTCCCGTGCTCCACGTCCCAGATTCGACAGCTGGTGTCGTTAGACACAGAAACAAGGAGGGGACTGTCCGGGACAAACATGATGCTGTTGACGTCTCCTGTATGCCCCGACCCAGTCGTCGGGCCAGTTCCCAGCATGTGCCTCAGCTCTCCACTGGCAGCCTCCCAGATCCCGATGCTAGCATCCGCAGAGGCTGTGGCCAGCAAGCTTCCGTCCTGAGAGAACTGAACCTGGACCACAGCTTTGATGTGCCCCTTGAGGTGGTGGAGAGTGAGGCAAGAGTTCATGTTCAGCATGAAGCTGGAGTTGTCGTCTGACGCTGAAGCGATCACGCACGTGTCCATTGTGTCCGACCTCCCCCTCCTCTCTAGCCCGTGAACCTTCCAGCTGCTTTCCCCCGGGCTGATGGCGACTTGGGTGACCGGGCCGACATGGCCGACGATCTTGGCGAGCTCGGTGGTGGAGAGTACTTCAAACGCTCGGATCGTCTTGTCCATGGAGCAAGTGATGACCCTGGTCTCATCAGCTGAGAACTTGACGCAGTTGATCCTCTTGTCGTGCCCAACTTTGACCTTCCAGATCTTCATGGCCCCATCCACACCGGCCGACACAGCTCTCAGGCAGTCATACGACAACAGGCACCTGGTACACCTGCCGTTGTGGCCTTGCGATGAGGTCCCGACGCTGTCGTCGCTGAACTGATCGATCTGCGAGCCGTCCGACGTGTCCCACAGCCTGACCGTCCCGTCGTCTGACGTGCTGATCACTTGCGGTCCTGTCATCCCCATCGCACATCCGTTCACGTTCCCCTTGTGCCCTCTGAAGAAGTTGAGCACTACCCCTGTGTTGGACTCCCAAGTCCGGACTGACCCGTCCATGGACGAGCTTGCGAAGGTGTCATGCCCGTAACCCCCAAAGCTGCACGCCAAGATGCCGTCGTGGTGCCCGAAGAAGACCTGAATGCACTCATACGTGTCAATGTTCCACAGCCTCAGCGTCCTGTCCAAGGAGGCAGACACGATGAACTGCCCGTCGTTGCTGACGTCACAGTCTGTCACTGAGCCCCTGTGCCCAGCCAAGATGGCCCTCGTCTGCCTTGACTGGGGGTCGATTAAGTTCAAGGTGAAATCGTTCCCCGCTGTCACCATGCACTCCCCGTCCCTCGAGATCTTGATTCGATTGATCATGGAGGGATTTTGCAAGGACGCGAACCTTTTGCCATGAGCGTGATGAACCAAGATTGAGTTCTCCTTCTTCTGAGCGATCAGATCCCAGAAGGTAACGAAACCCTCCTGACTCCCCGTTACCATCTGAGTCGCATCCGCAAACAAGGCACAGCAGGTGGCGGAGTGCTGGGCTTCAGTCAGGGAGAACAACTCTACACCGTTGTGCGTGTCGAACACGTGCATCTTGTTGGCCTCAGTCACACAGCTCAGGTATCTCGAGTCAGGAGTGAACGAGAGATCGGTTACCGCGGATCCCAGGTGGAACACAGCAGTCAGGCTCTTCTTCTGCAGCTTGTTGAGCATCTCCAGCCATCCTCGCGTCTCAGTCCCCGTCATCATCATGAACCTGGAGGCGATGGACGGGGCCATGGAGAGCGGAGAGTTGGCAGCGAGCTGGAACGTGTTTGACGGTCGGTAGACAATCTCAGCAGCGTTGGTCTTGACGAACTCATAGAAGTCATGGATGAGCTTGAAGGTCTCTACCTTCATCTCCCCCTGCAGGGACTCCACTGCGATCCTGTAATCCTCCAGCATCTCAGGGAGCTGACCGAAAAGCACTCGCATCTCAATGAACCGGATGCTGCAGAGCAGCTCCTTCACCTCCTCCACCATTCTTGCTCGGATCGCGTGATAGGGAGCCTCGCTAAGCCCTCGAGCCTGCTCGTCCGTGATGATCCTGCTGTAAATCCATCGCTCCTTGCCCTCGCCGAGCATGTCGAGATCGAGCTCCAAGAAGCCATGATAGAACATGTTGGCCAGTTCCCGGTGAATCCTTCTCTCACGCTCTGAGGACTTGATCACCTCGTCGATGATGAAGCGAGAGAGGGAGGTGTGGGTCAGCAACAGCGCCTGCTCCCCACCATGGTCGAACCAGTTGCGGTTCTTCTGAAGGAGGTGGGAGATCTTCAGCAGCACGTAGCGGAACCTGTGGTACCTGGGCTTCACGTCCCTGAGCTTGATCATCTCCCAGATCTCTGTCTCCAGCAGCCCTCTTCTGGAGCAGGAAAGGTACTGCAGGATGTCCCGCATGTAGGGCGCGGCACCTCCCAGCTGCAGCTGGAGGGTCTCGAGGTAAGAGGCGAGCAGAGACGACATTCTGTCCGGGAGCTTCTCGATGAGAGTCTTCATCCCCGCGACGTTCTCTTCCTGCCCGACTTTCAAGGACAGCTCTGCAGTGAGCATCGAGTAGAACAAGGCGGAGTTCCTGACAAACCGCTGGGTGTGGTTGAGGTATGACGAAAGTTTAGACTTGATGGAATCCAAGTCTGCGGTCTCAGCCCTTGAGGTGAAGATCGCGCTCTGAATCATCGCCATCTTTGACTCCATGCTGAGCTCGTTGAGCTCGATCTCGTTGGTCTGCCAGCCTCTCTGCTTCACCCTCAGCGTGTGTAGCTCCTTTGCACACCGCACGGGATCGATGGAGAGGATGATGCGAACAGGAAAGCATGGCGGCCCCATGAACTTCTCGGGTACCCAGTCTACCGCTGTCAGGTGCTGAGTGGTGAACCTCGTGGCATTGATTCTCCACATCTCCAGCTCCTCAAGTGAGTCGACGATGAGAAGCAAGCTGTCTCCCTGGAAGGAGGCAGACGCCAGGTTGCAGTACTTGGGGAACGTGTGGCACAGATGCTCGTAGTCTTGATCAAGCTCGCCTTCCTGCTGCAGGTAGAAATGCTCTGATATGCGCAAACAGAATCGGTGGAGCATGCGGACGGGGTCCCTGCTGGAGCCCGTGGCAGTGGTGAAGTGAATGTTCGGAAAGATCTTCGCCTTCGTTCTCCATCCTTTTTTCACAATCTTGGAGGTGACAGGATGCCGCAGGTCCAGGTACTCGTGCACAAAGTTCATGAGGAAGGCCGTCTTTCCCGATCCACTCGGCCCGATCACCAGCATTGGAGTCAGCCGATGCTCGTCATCGCAGTACCTGATCAGTTTCTCCGTCTCTTCCTTCCTCCCTACAAATGAGTCGGGAACTTCCGAACGGTAGATGAAGAAATCCATGTTCCTAGTGTCGATCTCAGCGTTGGAATACGAGGTGCCCTCCTCCCCTGAGAACACCATGTTCAAGTGATGCTGAATCTCCGTCTTGACAAAGTCTGCGTACTCAATCAGATCTCCTAGCTGGTACCCGAACTTGTCATCGCTCTTGGCGTAGGAACACTTGTAGTTCTGCAGCAACTTGGAATTGGATTCAATGGTCACAGATTTGGCGCAAGCATTTCTCAGTCTTCTCTGCATGGCATCCCTGTCATGTCTCATCTCTTTGAATACATGCTGCTTGTCTGTAGGAACGTCGGACATGAAGTCATATCCTCGTTGCAAGATCAGGATTCGCTTCACCCCGTCTTGAAAATCATTCACCGGCGCAACTGCTTTTGGGCTCTGTCCTACAGTGTTCTTCTTCAACCCCTGCCCCTTCTTCGATCGCAATTCTCGTATGCAAAGAGCGGCTTCCAACTCCTGGTAAGAGCGATCGGGAGGATAGTTATCCAGCCATTCATGCGCGCTGCTCAGTTCAACTCTCGATTCATCAGCAGGGATCTGCCCATACTTTCTACCTTGCAGCAAGACAACACAATGAGAGCTCTCTATCTCATGAAATCTTAGCTCCAGTGAGCACAGGTGAGCTTCAGCGTCTGTGAGACCATCCTGCAGGAATTTCAAGACGACCTTCTTGCCCCTCTGCCCGGCCACGTTGTGGAGATGACTGTACACGTCCGAGTACATCAGTTCCAGCTCTGACTTCATATCCTCACATGTTGCGCTGACATAGATAACGTAAGTCTGCCACGACTCCCTCATATCCCACTTGAACATCTCCGGAGGCTGAAGTACGTGCTTCATCTTATCCTCAACCTGGGTAATGTAGGTCTGAGGAGTAGGCGGCCTGGGGGGCTCATCGTCTTGGAAGAAGTCTTCGTCCTTTGCTTTCTTCTTCTTCTTCTTCTTCTTCTTGCCCGACCCTACAAACATCGTTGTTCTCATAGATTGCTCCAGGCCCGTCGACATGGCGCTGGCTGCTACTTCTTCCTCAGTAGTTGACAGCATCTGTTGGAACGCCTTGAAAACGCTGCTTCTCTTCCCCTGCTCTGCTGTCAGAATTGTGCAGATCTACATCATACTAGTTCACCGCTCCTGCTTTCTTCTCGGGTCGAGTGTCTTCGACAATCGTACCAGGGATGACCTCCCCGTTGTCATCTTTGATGGGAGAAGGAGGCGGCTGCGCGTTCTCATCGAGGTCGCAGATCATCTCTCTTCGCTCTCTCATAAGAGCGTTCTCGGAATCCACTTTCAAGACTCTCTTCTTCCATCGGAACGGGCCCCACCGTACAACCTTGTAATCATAGATGTCCCCTGAAGACTTCAGTCAGGAATAAACCCATAGATCGGGAGGAAGCAGACAAGATGACGCCATTGAACAACGCAGGCACATCATCTCTTACCATACTCCTGGAGCTTCAACTTGAGTTTGTTCCTCTCCTTCTGCTTCAGCACCCTCTTCTCCTCGATTTCTTCGATATCAGCCATCGTAGCCTATCCGACTCTCAACTTTCTCAAGTTGGCGTCGAAGTCCACGGAATCAGCAGCCTGCGTTCACCTCGCATCATGACATCTCATATAGTAGCTAGTTGCATGTCTTCGGCGTCGGCAGATTGTGTCTCACTGGTCTGCTGCCGCCATGGTTGTCGTGCAGCGTTGCCCGCCATCGGGCCATTTCGTGGGCCAACAACAGAAACAGTTCTCAACCACACCCATGCAGGGCAGTAATAAAAGAATAATAGAGAGATTAGAGGAGCTTTTACTGCCTTACGGAGGGGAAGGTGTTTTTAGGTTACTACCACTTTTTCACGAGCTTGCTGTCCTTCTAGAAGACGTAGTGGCTGGTAGGACCGGTCATGCTACAGCCATGGCGGACGGCAGCGGCTCCGGTTAGGAGAGCATGAGGCAGAGAGCGTGAGGAGGAGGAAGAGAGAGTGAGAAGCTGACGGGAAAGAAAAAAGAAGAGGAGACAGTTTACGGCACTTTCAAATCAAAAGGTGGAGGACAATCATTTTTTAGAATTCTTGGCTCCTGAAGTCGCAGAGACAGAGAGGAAAGAGAGTGAGAGAGGGAGAGAAGGACGTACTTGATAGAGAGTGAGTGAGTGAGTGAGTGGAGACATTGAGATACTTGTTTGCGTTTCATGGTGTTTCGCCTCCCACAGAAAAGGACCATGGACGTAAACAATTTCATCAAAAATCGAAAGTCAGGGGAGTATTTTGAGGATTCGAATGCCCTGGTAGCCACTCTAGCGTTTGAGTGCTCGTCCAGTCATCGAACAGTTAGCAGAGAAGGAGCTCGCACCTCCAGAGAAGACCCGGTCTACTTCTCTCACGAGAAGAATGTGAGGATGGTCAAGAAAATCCCCAAGGCAAAATGTGTTGTGCTGCCGCATGTGTTGCCTGCCTCAGGGCCCATTGCATGGCCAGCAGCACCAAGTGTAAACGACTCTCCTACAGCCTCGAGGAGGGAGACTGCGTTCAGCCCCGACCGGAAACCCACACCAGAGACAAGACCGAAGCAACTGGAACCTAGCCCGTCAAGCAGCCCCTCGCGTGACGGAAACATCAACCCCCAGCATGTCAGTATCAACCTCAAGACCGAGCGAAGCCCTGGACCTGAGGAAGCGCTGTTTGAGATCGAACGATGCCCTCCATCTCCTAGACGGACTGAAGGGAATCCTTGATTGTTGGTGATTTGGAAAATTCTATTTGAAATTTGGCTCGTTGATAACTATCTTTTGGACTATAATACAATGATGTGCATATCCTTCCTTTCGGCACAATACAGTTCCCACATAAGACTGCATGCCACCTCCAGCTTTCTCACACCCAGTCGCGTGTTATACAAAGAACTTGTCCATCTGCTCCTCTCCAGATCAGCTCGCAGTGTTCTTCGCAGCTCCCTTCCTCTCTGTCCAGCTATCAACCGTTTTCCCACCTCCACGAAGTCTTCTTCGTTTCGAGCAATCAGCTGCGTTTGCCCCAGACTGCTCAGGATCGACGAGGCGACGCGGGAGGCGAAGAGCATTCCCGGCCTGCTCAGCAACGGCGTCCCCATCCATAAGACATCCATGGCCACAGTGTGAGCATTGACAGGAAACGTGTCGAGGACGATGTCCGACAGGCCGCATCTGGTTGGTAAGGTCAGGCAAGGAAACAAACTTGCGTCACTCTTCTCAACGTGTCAAGTGTGAGAGAGGTCTACATCACCTTCGGATGAATTCCACGATCTCTGTCTTGTACGTCCAAAACAATTTCTCGGCGGCGATGCGATGCGCGGAGGCGTGAAGTTCATAGCGCCTACTGATCCTCTCGCCTTGTGGCCCCTCCAAGATTTGCCAGAAAAGCGAAGTTTCCTCTTCTCTCACGATGTCGGCCCAAAGTTTGAACGTCTCTGGATTCACTTTGTACATCTTGACAGCAAGTCAGTTCGAGAGATCCCACGATGTGAGTTGGTCACCTGATTGAAATTCGAAACAACCGTCTTGTTCGCAGGCAAACCCAGCAACCTTCGCTGTCTTTCTACGTATTCCTCTCGTGAGGGAGACCCGGCAGGACCGGAAGTTTCCTGCTCCCTTGCCTCCTCAAAGTGATACCTCCTATGATCGTTGATGTAATAGCAGCCCGGTAGCACCACCAGCTTCTCCGAGAAACTGAGGGAGATTTCGGGTGTGGTGGCAACGATGTCAGTGATGAAGAAGTCCATGTACTTCGCTCCCATCGTCCCAGGATATCCCAGATACGTCGCCTGCACAGGTGCGACTTTGTACGAGAGGACATCACTTCTGTGCCCGGCAGTCCAACCGTTGAGATTGAGGAGGACATCGATGTTGAGTCGTCGGATTTGCTGGACGGCAAGGTCAACCGGCATGAGAGGGTCGACGTGGGTCATGTTGCAGTCTCTTGAGATCTCCACCTGCCAGAACTCACTGGCGTTGGAATGGCCCAGGTTGAGGCAGCGCAAGGAGACCTTGCCCTTGTCGTGGAGGGGAAAACTTCCTTTCAACAGATGCGAAGTCGCATGAGCGGCGAAGTCCGACGAGAAATATCCCAATACAAGTCTCTTCCCTTGTTTGGCTCTCCTTCTCCCTTCATGGACCTCCTCGAGCAGCCTATCGGACTTGAGATGCCCGGTCTGACCTCGGGAGTAGATGATCGATGCTGTCAGGAAGTCGCAGAGCTGCGGGTTCAGCAAGAGGTACTCGTGAGGCTGCAAGAGCGATCCAACGCCGACCCCCGAGAAATCACAACAAGAGAACAAAAGGGAATCGACATCTTTCCTTGCCATGGTTGTTTCGCACAGATGACTCGGAAGAATCCTAGAGATGTATTGCTTGCTCATGTAGCTTGCCAGGGCCTCCGCATGAGACAGGAGAAGCTCCCACCTTGCCATCCTCGCAGCATTGACAAACGAGCCAAGAAGACAGAGAGGTCTCCTCGACGTCTTCATCCTTGAAGCAAGATAGAAGAGCCTCGCTGCTTGGTCATGCATCCCCTGCTTGTTGGAGCAGATTGCCGCCCCGAAGAAAGGGTCATCGTTCCTTGCTCCGAGCCTCCAGGCGACTTTGAAACACCGGATGGCACCCTCACATTCTCCTATACCCAGCAGGAGCCCTCCAAGTCTGTTCCACACCTCCTGTCTGGTCAACAACGCGGATGGGCCGGCAAACAGGATCCGCGCCATGTCGTTGAGGGACGTGTGTCGTATGTCGCTGCCCTGCACGAACAGACTTGAGCAGTCGAAGTAGGAGTCGATGAGCATGTCTCTGATCTGATGGCTCGCAGAACTCGTTCCTGCGATCCTGAGGGCTTCCGACATGCATTCGACATTCTCCTCGCACTTGCCTTGCGCCTTGTAGGTCTGACCGAGCGCGATGTAGGACACGTAGATGGTAGGATCAAGTTTGAGCGCCGACTTGAGCTGGTCCTGTGCCAGGTCCTGCCTTCCCTGATAATGATATGCGATGCCAAGGTTGTGCCTTGATGACACGCTGCGCGGATCCTGAACGACGCAGTCATAGTAGGCCTGCACTGCTTCGTTCAACCTGAAGGTGCGTTCGTCAGTTGATCGCATGGGAGGAGGATGCAGGATGAGCACCTGCCATTATCTCGCAGAGCTCTGCCTCGAGGACAGTCATCCTCCCCCGCTACCACCAGCATGACAACTGCCGCCATCACAACCGCCCGCGTCGCCATGCGGCATGCCCCCGACAAAGTCAACTGAGGCGGACCTGGGATATTGACATCCGCTTGCACCTCACTCAGGACATGGCCGAACCTCGGAGCAGGCGGCTCTTCATGCTGCTGCGCGGGATTGTGTGATGGCTGACGCGTTGGCGCGTCAACGAGAACATGCAGCTCTACTTGTCCCTGCTCATCCCTCCTCCTCCTCCTCGCTGCCACCTTGCTCTTGCCCCTCCCTCTCTGCCTACGTATGACCTCTTCGCTTGTTGGCTTTCAAACCTTTGTTTGTCGGTTGCACTTCTGATACCCTGGAAGTGCAGGTCATGGGGAACAACGTCAGCTTCGACTGCTGTGGGAGCAGAGCAAAGGATGTGCCCATCGAGCGCCGCGCTCAGAGGCCTGATGGACAAGCCCTGCAGGTTACGTGAGGTATAGCATGCAATCTGCTGAAGTGTGCAATGCAGTCGTCCACAGGAGCGCAGAGCACTTCCGAAGAGCCGAAGCAAAGGATAGTGCTGCAGACAAGTCTGGAGCAGAAGCACGATGAATCCATCTCCGAGGGCGCAGCTGAGCAAGATCAGGGAGGAGTTGGGATCATGTTGGTCCATGCACAAGGCAAGTGGGTCGTCAAGTCGGTGATCAAGGATTCGCCTGCATGGTCCTCTGGCAAGATTGCTGAGGGTGATGTGTTGCTGAGGTTTGGCGCTGAAGAGCTAGCTCAAGTTTCTCTGACTGGAGGTTTCTTGTGCAGTGTGGATGGGAACGAGGTTGAAAGTATTGAGAACCTTGGTGAACTATCGAAAATCCTGATGGGTGCGTGAAGCATGGGGGTCAGAAACTTGCCAGCTGATAGCATACAACAGGTCCAATCAATTCCGTAGTTGTCTTGCGATTCTCCAACAGCAAGACATCTGAATTGACTCACGTCACGCTGGTAAGGACAACCGACTTCACGGGTCAAGGTGAAATTCTCTGATTTGATTCGACGTGCGATGAATGATCTGAGCGGCTGACTAGGAAACGACAAGAAGCGCGTGTGGCGAGCGACTCGCACTGACTGGGTCAATGATAACATTGAGTGTGCAGACATATAAGAGGAGGATGGGAATTGCTTCCTCGATTATTAGCACTTTTGCGTAGTACGATACCACACAGTAATTTAGAAAGCCCTTAGTTTGTTTCTTCCTTTCTTATCTCTTATTCTTACAACCAAGACAACTGGGATATTTTGTCTGCTGGTGGAATCATTATCATCGTCTTCGACGTGGACGATTCTCTTGCTTAGCCAGCTCTAAACTTTCTCATGATTTGAAATAAATCAACAATACATCATCTTGCGCTCTTTGCTTTTGACGAGCCTGTTTCAACATGCAAAGCTTTCGTCTGCAGGACACAAACTCGATAGAGATCGACATGTCAGCGATAGACCTTTGAAAGTGGAAACTAAGAAGAATCAAACAACACCTTAAAACATTCTTAATGATCAATCGGCAGCTAGTCTGCCTCAGCATTCCTCTCAGTGGCTTCTCCTTCCGTTCACAGCTACTGTGGCTATCCAGGCCCTCGTCCGCCCTCGTCGACCTCCCTCACATCTCTTCAGTACCTCATGACTCACCAGCTTCCCCATCCTGGTGACGACTGAGTGGCAGGAGAAGGGAAGGAGGTATCGCGAGAGAGGTCGTCCTTCCTTCGGCCTGCACTGCTGGAGGTCCAAGTTTGCTCGGCCCGAGTTGGTTGCCCACCTGGAGGTTGCCTCGGCGTTGCTTTGCCTGACTGAATGAATGATGCTCGTCGGTGAGTTGTTTGCAGGAGAGGTTTGCAGGTCCGAGGTCCTTGAACATGAGAACCTGATCCTTGCCTTCGATCAGCAGGGACTTGAGGTCTGGCATGTCGATATCACGCTTGTCACGCTCAGCATAGAAGGCAGAGACGAGGGTTTTTGACGTGCTGGTTGAAGTCTCCTGCGACTATCTCGAGCAGGAGGAGTAGCACGAGGAGGACGACATGGAAGATTAGGAGGAAAAGGAGGACTGTGAAGATAAGGAGAACAAGGAGGACTGATTGAGGTCAGTCATGGTGATTCCGTTGCGGTCCATGAAGGAGCGGAGAAGGGAAACGAAGCAAGGGCCTTCGGAATGGATGGACCACTACCCCACCTCTTGACATTAATCGGAACCCGTTCTTTCTTCGGCAAAAGTACCGGTGCATCAAGGACATTGAATCACCCCCACCGTCCTAAATGATGATGCAAAAAACCCACAAACACTGCCTGCGTAATAATTTAGACTCGCCGGCCCGGGAACCGTTTGAACCTCCGACCATCGGACCGTTCTCTCTGATGGAACGTATGCCAGCCGTGCCAGTCAGATAGCGCCGAGTTAACAAAAACTCTCCTGTAAACCAAGACGACTTACGTGGCGAGATCTGCGTGACTTTGGACTAGTACAAGTCTAACAAACTTGTATTCCGGAATACATGTGATCGGACCGGCCCCGGAGATCATCCGCGGCGGTTTGCGCGGCTGTCGAACGACTCCCGTTTCAAATTTCAGTTCAACGGTTTCAAAATTCCCTATGGCTCACGGGTCACCGGCCCCGCCCGGCCCACCGTTGTGCCGGGGTCAGAACGGTTTGCCGCCCACCCGGTGACCGGGCCAGGGCTGCTGGGGGCGCAATGGCAGATAAAGAACCTCAAAGAGTATAGAGCAAAGCTAGATCACACCTGAAAATATTTATTGCCCCATCCTGACGACTGCAGGGCTCAGGGGTTATTCGGCAGAAGGAGGGGTGAGGATGCCTGGTATGAGTGGGGTAGGGGTAGTAGACTGGGGGCTACACAGTGAAAGAAAGGGGGTGGTAGGGGTAGTAGATTTTTGGCGAGGGATGGCGACGAAGAAAGCGGAGAGAGCGACGAAGGGAGGGAACTAGAGGCGATGGCGTCAGAGAGCGAGCGAGAGGAGGAATGGAGCGAGAAGAGAGGAAGTAGTCGAAAACAGGCAAGATGAAGGGGAGCATGATGCAGTAACAGGGAGTTCTTTTCTTTGTTTCACAGATTGAAGAGTTTGTATGTCCTGGTAGCAACGTTCGGTGGTTGAATCAGAAGCATGGCATGAGACCTCTAGATTGAAGGGCATATTTTGAGTCATTTACAAGATATATCTAGCTTTGAAGCATCATAACCTTTCATAATATTCAGGTCTGAGCTCATAGTTTGCCTAGGATTCTTCCACCCCATCGATGTTTTTTTTTGTTCTTTTCATTTTCCTTCAGTGATGATTGATTCTTTCCTCTTCAGAATCTATTTCTTTTCTCTGTATCGATCGAAAAATGTCCAAGGCGGTAATGGAGTTGGAAGAACCAGGCGCATACATGGTAAACCTCTCGATTGATCTTGACTTGCTTTGTGTACATTCTTGTTGAGCGAGGAAACTTCTGATGTCTTGGCTTAGGTGAAAGGAATGAAATGGGTTGTTCCCCAGAGATACAAGATTGCTGTGCTCTTGGGCTCTGGGGCATATGGTTGCGTTTGCCGCGCCTACGATGAGCAGGTCTGACTTTCACATGCCGGGGATGTTGCAGCTGACTGAAAGTGACTTGTTCGCAGGAGAAAAAAGGTGCCAGCATGGTGATATGCTCTCCAGAGTGAAGTTTTACTGTTTGAGAACAGATGTAGCGATTAAGAGGTTTGAAGACGTGTTCATGAGCAAGACAGACGCGCTGAGGATTCTGCGAGAGATCGCAATCCTTCGACGGTTGGAACACAGGTCAAGTCGTTCCCGCAGTGTTGCGCCCGCTCATGCTTCTTTCATGCCAGGAACATAATCAAATTGATGAATGTTGTCAATCCAGCGCAATTCCCACAGCCGCTGCGTGTAAGTGGAATCGCAATTCCCCTACCTTCATTGTGCCCCTCTGAGTTGAGCGAGCGAGCAACATGTGCTTCTCTCCTTTCAGTCTCCTCCTCACTCTTCCCGTGTATCTCCTTAGACGCTTTACGTCTTCTTCGAATACGGAGGGATGGACCTGCACAAGTTGGCTGCTTCAGACAGATACCTTGAACTTGATGAGATTCAATTCGTGATCCGGCAGCTCTGCGAGGTTTCGACCAGTTTCTCTCCAAATGCTTGAAGTCTGATTCGACCTTACGTCAGGGGGTGCGATACCTTCATAATTCCTTCGTGATTCATCGTGATCTGAAGCCAGCAAACATTCTCATGTACTCCCCGTTCTGCTCTGATCCATGTGTTCTCGTTGACAGTCTTGATAGCGAGCCGGAACGTCTTCACCTCAAGATTGCAGACTTTGGATTGGTCGATGAATCCTCGATGATGTACACGAGCGAGACTGACCGTGGGTGCTGCAGGCAAGGGTCATGGAGGCAGATCTCAACGCTCACTCCCACCTCGAGGACGATTTCGATCAGACAATGGGGGTTGACCAGCGGGACGAGGAGGAGGTTGTTGAAGGCGTGAGCGACTTAGCGGTGGACGATGGCTCCAGCCCTTCGTCTACCAGTGAGGCAGAATGTAAGAGTGCCGGCTTATCACCTCACATCGACTCGACTAACCCCTGCCCCTTGCAGATGACGATCGTCCTACACCGCTGCTCCGGCACATGAGTGAGCATGTAGTGACAAGGTCTTGCGACTGTTGGTTGCTCCTCCATCATCTGAAGTTGTGCTAAGGTGGTATCGAGCTCCCGAAGTCATCCTCTGCCGGGGACGATATTCGAACTCAATCGACAACTGGAGTGTTGGTTGCATCATTGCTGAGCTGTTCAACCTCCACAGCTCAGTGGTGAGTTCTGCCGTCGTCCATCGCATCATCAAGTCTAAAGGTGATCTGACAGGATAAAATCAATCGAAGACCTCTTTTCCCTGGTTTGATCTTGCATGCCTTGCGCCGGACTTCTCTGATTGGATTGCAGGGCGATCGTGTTTCCCGCTGAGCCCGAGCTCAAGAACATGTTTCAAGGTCAAACCTCGCGCATGAATCGCCTTCTTGCATGTTTGATCGGCAGAGGCAGGAAGTGACGGACCAACTGAATGTGATTTTTGCTGTCACTGGCACACCCTCAAGGTAGTTGCGTCCTGTCCCTTTCCTTAGCCGCTGATCGCTCCCTCAGCTACGAGATCGATCAGCTCGACGCTGGATCAGAAAGCAACGACGTGAAGACGTGAGCTCCGAGCAGCTCGACTGAGTGTTGGCCTCACCATTGCCCAGGTACCTCCGCCACCTCCATCCCAAGGGAGCCATCGTGCTTGGGAACAAGTATCCGCACATACCGCAAGAGGTACCACCGAGAGGCTTCAAGGAGGATGGTTCTCATGCAGCTGTAGGGGATCAAGCTCCTTCAGAGCCTCCTCAAGTTCCTGGCAAGAGAGAGGCTGGACATGAAAGCTGCTCTACAACACCCGTTCCTGAATGTGAGTGCTCCCTGCCTGCCTGCCTGCCTCCAACCCCCCCCCCCCTTCCCCCTTACACGCTCTCTCTCCTTCTCTCCCTCTCCCTCTCCCTCTCCCTCTCTCCTTCTTTCTCCCTCTCTCTCCCTCTCTCTCCCTCTCTCTCCCTCCCCCTCTCATCTCCATCTTCTACCGTACGCTCTACTCAAGCTTTTGGCCTTCTTTTTGCTCGGATGCTCCTGCACAGACTTCGACCCCGCGACTTCACCAGCTGGAGAATCAGCTGATGGCTGATCACGACCTGGACATGCCTCCTGCTCTAGAGCGGTCAAGCTCCGTGTTGACAGCCAAGAACCTCCTGCAGGTACCTCTTTGCCTCCTTGCGGATCCCGCGAGGCTGAGTTCGTGCTCAGCTGCAGTTGGAGAGCAAGTACAACAAAAGGAATCACGACGAGGTGAGCTCTTCACCTCGTGGTATGGGAGGGTTGGCACGTTGACGGTGCGGAGCAGGCGGTTGAGAAGCTTTCGAACCTCTTCCGCAACGAGATCGAAGCCTTCTACGCTGAGTTCGCCATGTGCGAGGGCTGGTGCTGGTGTGCGGGGCGGGGCGAGTGACTGAGTGACAGGCCCAAGAACACGAGGATAGCGCTTGCCGGGGAGAGGCGCGGGAGTGAAGGGGATGAGGGCACGTTGAGGTCCTCCAACTCGGATGAATTCTCTGACTGCCTTTCGCCTTGATCGCCTCCAACGACATTGCATCTTCAATAATGAACCCTCCCTCCTCTCTGGCGCTTCTTTCTCAGCTGCCGATTCTCCCTCTGGTTTTACAGCAGCAGAAACTCCCTGGTGTAGGAGTTCTGGTCCATGGTCGTCTTCACCGTCACGGCCCTCCCGCTCCTCCGCAGAAACGCAGTCGCGAGCTGCATGCAACGTCAGCGAAGACGTCGATCTGGCAGTAGGTCTACCATGACGTCATGGTCGTTGATGAGGTAGTTGTCTTGCATACTCAACCACTGCCGCCCCCACAGTGTGCATGGCGCCTGTCAGTCGCTAAGGTTTAGGAGAGGGAGACGGCGAGAGCTGAGGGGCAGAGGAAAGAGAAGCAGGAGAGAAGAGAGCAGAAGCAGAATAGGACCTGCATGCGTACGACAATTTTACGCCCGTGACCCTCCCAGTTCTGATCAGTGGCTGGTACCTGCTGCAAGGTTAGCCAAAGTGTTATCCCTCCCTCGCTCTCCTCCTCAGACCTTGTCTTGAATCTTCTTCGCCCAGTCCTCGTAGACCCCCTTCGCCTGGATGTATTCTTGGGTGCTGGCTGCACCAGCATCCTCCACGTCGATCTTCATCGCATACCCATTGTTTTGAAAGATCTGACCAGGGATGGTCAAACAAGACAACGAGCGAGGAGTGGAAGGCCTGTCTCGGCCCGCGTGTACCTGGTAGATGCTGTTGAAAGACTTCAAGACCTCAGAGAAAGGAGCGTTGGGGCTGCAGCACGAGGGTGAGCAAGAGGGAACGAAGACGTTCCTAGCCAACCTGGAGGGAAGCGGAGGTTTGACGTAGTTGCTGTCATCCGTGAAGTTTGCGAGCAGCCCGTCGTACATCCTGTCAACTTCGTCAGCGCAGAGTGAACGAGGGGCAAGATGATTGTACTTTTCACCCGAGCGCATGAAGAAGCGCGGGGCAAGGAGGTTATCGTCCTTGAGCATCGGGTCTCGTTGGATCACATGCTTGTCGTTCTCCACCCCGCTCGTCTCCTCGAAGATCTGCTTCGCGCCTTGGATGGACTGCGTGATGGATGCGAACTGGGCTGAGCTGATGAAGTCGAAGTAGAGCGCGTTGGTCAGGTCTCCCTGCTTCACGTCGTTCTCCTTGATGTACTTCTCCCACTCGTCCTGGCGGAGGAGGAAGAAATCTTTCTGGAACTGATTCATCGGGAAGAAATCGAGATCATCGACAGTGTTGTAGCAGGATCGCATAAGGAGCACTGCAAACTGAAGGAAGAGGAAAGTTCTTGGGATCCTGATCGGCTTCGGCCTCTGCTCCTTTATTTTGTTCGTCTGGCCAAAGGGATTTGACAGCAACCCTCCTCCTCCTCCCCGCCCTGTTCCAGATTCCCTTCCGTATCCAAAGACTGACATCGTATCCAGGTTGATCGCGTCCGCTCTTCCTTCCCACAGCAGCAGCGGAGCAGCCGCAGCCACTACCTGCATACACCTCCTCCTCGACAGAGAGTCGATCTGCATCTTGAGCGAGCCCAGGCTCCTACGTCTCGACCCAGCAGTAGCCGTGCTAGCCATCGACAGGCGTCGCTGCTGGAGAAGGTTGGACATGGACATGCTGCTGGGGCTGAAGGCTCCTGCCATCATGTTGAAAGTGGTAACGGTGAGCATCAGGCATATTCCGTGCACAGCTCGCATCCTTCCTGTCAGATCCTGTCGATCCTGTCGATCCTGTGAGGAGATACCTTTGTAGCAAATGAAAGATCCTGCGAAGCTTCACATCAATGGAGTCAAACGACACAAACTGTTCAGACAAGCACTGAAATTTCAAGAAATCTTTTCAGACGACCACTGAAATTCTAAGAAACCAGCCATCTCTCTCAATACAAATACGCACATCACAGCGAAGATGGCTCAGAACAAACTCGTGGAGAAAGGTTTGGACCTCGTCTCGTGCGACTCTCTTCCTATCATTGACAGACGAGCAAGGAAACGGCATGAGAGGAGATCGCAAAGTGCATGGCCGCTGATCGTCAGAGCTAAGCGGCGCCTTTTATAGGCGAGCAAAGCTTACGTGGGGGAAGTTGTGCTTACATGCTTACATGCTTACACGTCATGCTGACGAGCAGATGAACAGCACTTTCATCATTCGGCAAGATAACCTGATTGTTTGATATCTCAAGAGCAATGTTGAAGGAAACATCTATTATCCCTATTTTTTATCCATGCCGATCAATACGTCTTTTACCTGTCGATCTCCTAAACTACGTGTCCACGTTGCAGGTTATCTAATAAATCACACAAACTTATCAACAACTCATCATGCAAGAGGAGGGCAGCTCCACTTGAAAACTAGTTTCTTCCTGCTGCTCCTGCTTCTCCTGCTGCTCCTGCTACTCCTATCTCACCATCCTTTCCCTTGTATGCCTGCGCTGACTTGACCCCGAACGACATTGAACATTTATATAAAGTTTTTGGTTTACTCAATAATCCTTTTTGATACAATTTTTCAGGTACGGGACACTTTTACAATTGTTTTTTAAAAAGGGAGGCGAGCTCGCAAAGCAATTGAGTAACTAAAATAATTTCATTATCGTACCCCTCCAATTAACGTTCATTCTAGGGGTGCGTTTACCCACCCCTATCAACGACATAACCCTCAAAATTGATGACCCTACCCACCAAATGTCGACACCCCCTCGCATTCAAACCATTTCACCGTTTTTATTAATGTCAGAAGTATAAAATTCTCCACTTTGGTAGTCTAGTCATTCGGCAGGATACCCTCTACCCTAAAGAAATATAACCCCACCCCAGAAAACCATTTGCCTCGTTCTCCTCCTCTCAGCCTCATGCTGCGGCTTGTACGAGGGACCGGTCTTCGCTTCTTCGGGCGGCACCCGAAGCATGACGTCGGGCAGCTCAACAGCTCCAAGCAGCTGCCCAGGTAGGAGCAACGGCGAGGGAACATGGCGGGCTCGATGCATGTCGAGGGCCATGTCGAACAGAGAGGATGGGTAGAGATGGAAAAGGCGGTTGAGGGATAGAACAGAGCAAGAGGGGATTCTTGTGGTGTGGATGCAGCCTCGGGTGTGATGTAGGACACATCACTTCTAGCCCTGTCTTGTGTCTTGCTGTTGAGCCTCTTGCGCGTGCGCCCTTTGTTGAGTTGTGTGGTGGGGCTGGGTGGGTCGGAGTCAAGTGTTGGACCTGAAGATTTCCTTGATGGCAGAGTCGATGAGATCACTGGATCCATATCAAAGTCGATAAAGAGGAAAGAATGGAAACGCCAGCCCTTCCCCCACTCGAAATTTGACAGTGAGCTTGCACTGCTGTTTGCTGACCCTACTCATTTGATCCGTTTGGCAGGCAAGGAGGAGATTCGGCAGAAGAGAGATATCTACCTCTATCAGAGATCTCTGCCAGCCCCCGTCATAGATGCTGTAATGAATATGAGAATGGTCGGGCAGAATGTCGACTCAAGCTGTATTGCAGTATTTGCACGGAGCAGATGTTACGGTGTCAAGGGAAAACACATTCAGGCGATGGTGGATTATGGACGCGCGGGATTATGTGATGATGTGGGCACAAGATGCCGGCCGTGAGATAACTCTGTTGTTCTACAGACTTTGGGAAAACTTGCTTCCTTAGCTTGTCGACTTATCATGGGCAAACACAAGCCGATCTTTGACAGGTCTCACATGCTGCGTCGTAGTGCTTGCTAAAACAAGAGTATCTACTTGCAGATCACTTGTTCTTGGGGACTTTGTCATTGTTACGAATGCGCCTGAGATCAATGTCGCCAGAAAGTCACAGGATACAAAACTTTACCGATATCACACTGGTTGGTTGATGGCTTGCGAAGACTTTCTGAGTTTGACGTGTCGAGCAGGGTACCCCGGTGGCCTCGTCGAAACCCCATACATGAAGATGCTGAAAGAGAAACCTGAAGAAGTCATCCGAAGGTCCTTCTGCTCTAGACGTGCCGCGCTGCTTGTCACGTTGCTGCAGAGCTATTTCTGGGATGCTTCCGAAGAACAACTTGAGGAAAGAAAGGATGAAACTGCTGAGGGTTTTCCGTACCAGCGAGCACCCACACCTTGCGGAAGAACCGACGATAGTCCGAGCAGACTTGTTCGAGGTACTCGATCAACTTCCATCCTGTTCTCTCCCTTGCCTCGATTGCATCCTCTCTCTCTCGCGTCAGATCTTCTCATAGTGGTGCTGATTTGGCCTTCAGACACGTTCTCCCTGGTTGGAACCGAAAGAGGCAGTACAGGTCGCAGAGTTTTGTCAGATTGATGATCTGATCCTCACTTGTATGTATAGCAAGTGGACAATGAAGGAGTCGTTATCCTTGACCATGAAGGAAATCCCATCCAGGACCTGGTTGATAATCATGGTGAGCTCAACGTGGTTGGTAGAGTGAGCGCGGGACTGATAGTTTGTATGCAGGCAACACATGGACTGAGGAGGAGGCCGAGTGGCTGCTGAGCGAAGGGACGACGATGTTCCGCGATCCTGTGACTTTCTTGCTCGCTGGTTCCTGCTAACGCGGCTGACATGTTGGCGCAGGAAATTTATGGCAAGGACGTTCCAGAGCCGAGAACGGACACATATGGTGACTATTGGAAGAAGAAGATGAAGTGAGAAGGAGCTGGAGTAAATTGAGCTCCCCTCTTTACCCTCCTCCCCTTCTATCTCTGTTTCCGTCTCCCACTCCACTCCTCCAGTAGACATAGGGAGCACATATTCATCTTCATTGATGGGTAAGTCGCTAAGTAGTGTACAGTCTAACGGAAGACGGAGTTGAGGTAGTAATGGATGGAATAGGCGCGCTTGATGCTGTACAGCCGATGCATCTGAGTGTGGAGAGAGTAGAGCTGGCTGTCTTGTATCTGAATCTCCCCGATGATCTGGAGATTCCCCTCCCCTCGGTAGATCAGATGCAGCTTCAAGTCCCGGTATCCATCTTCCACCTCTGCCCAGGCAAACTTGTTCTTCACCCGGCAGAGCGTGAGGGGCCCGGAGGAGGAGGACGCCTCGAACCATTCCGCCACCTGGACCATGTGGCTCGGCCCCTGGCACACGAGGCACAGGCGGACGGGGTCGAGGATGTTACAGCAGAGGGGCCACGTGCCCTTGGGGTTAGGAGGAGCGTACTCCCTCAGTTTCTCCCTCATCCTGCTGACGGACTTGACCCGGGCAAGATGCACCTTGACGTTCCCCGGGCCCTCCCGGAAGATGCAGCGCAGCTCGTGGACGACCGTCTCCTCCACCGGGCGGGTCTCCCGCGAGGAGGAGGAGGTTAGCGCATCCAGCCCGGTGCAGTGGCTGAGGAGAACGTCCATAACGGCCCTGTGGAAGCCGTCGTTGAGGATGCGAGACCGTGTGTTGAGCTGAACGACGAAGATCTCTTCGTCCAGACACTCCAACGCCCCTTCCTTCACCATCTGCTCCCAATCCGTCCTCGCGTCCGACTTCTCCCGCTCCCCGTAGCGGACTGCCCCCACCTGGTAGCAGGGTCAGCAAGGGACATCACCTCTGCTGGGAGAGCATCTAGCAGGGAGCAAGGAGGGGACGAGCATCGGGAAAGGACGAGGGCGAGGCTGGGGGAACAACAACTGCAAATGTGCTCACCGTGTCCTGTCTCTCCATGCTCAGCGTCACGTGGCGATTCTGCTCCATGAAGGTCGACGAGTAATCTTGCCAGGACCTCCTGCTAAGAGACAATCGATGAGGAAGGCAAGCGGCAAGCGGGACTCAGTCACCTTCCCTCCACATCCGATTGCACTCCAGGGATGTGAGGAGCGTAGACGACGAGGACAGCGCCGTGCTCCTTGTTGACCATTTCATTGAACCTCTGCTCGCACGACTTGACAAGGTCGGCCATGAGCTGCTGGGCAAGGAGTTGGAGCCTTCGGAAGAGGGTGATGTCATCCTTCCAGAGCTTGATGTTGGTGACCTTGGTCTTGAAGAAGAGATACCTTTCCTCCTTGGACAAGTTCCTGATCTTCTCGAGCCTCATCTGCAGCAGCTTGTTCCTTTGCTCTCCTGTCATGAACCAGCCCAACACGCGCTGCATGCACGAGGAGAGGAGCGAGTCCCAGTGCGGCACGGTGGAACCAACCTGCTCCAGACGCCTCTCCAGGTCTTGAGTGTGGTTGGAGTGGAGGAGGAGAATCCTGCATTGCTCCAGAAGCCAGTCGCACAGGTTGTGGTACTGCTCCGAGTCTCCAACGTCAGCCTCGCTCCCTCTCTGCAATAGACACATGCAGAAGCTGTCGAAGAAGTGCTCGTCGAAGTCGTCTTGGAAGATCGACAGCCGCGCGGCCGCCTCCATCGACCTCTTAGCGATCACCTTCAACTGGCTCCTTGCCATCCGCATCCCCAACCGCTCCGTGCTGAGCGCATAGCCGTCCTTGAGCTGGATGTGAAGGCGCTTCCGCAGGTCGGAGATCATCTCGATCAAGTCCTTGTCTTCCTGCACCTGCAGCCGACCCTGGAACTTGCGGAAGTACATGAGGAGGAGGACGGCGAGGAGGATGAAGGGAATGAGCACGACAACGATGAAGATACTGATGTGCTCGCATTCGTTTCCCATCAGCACAAAGTTGGAGGGGCAGGTGTCGCACCCATGGGAGCTGCTCGCGCCATACATGGACGTGATTTTCTTGTTCGGACATTGAATAGCTTGCGTGGAGTTCTCGGGGCAGAAGAAGCCCACCGGGCAGATCGTAGCGTTTGCTGTTCCTCCTGGACAAAACCAGCCAGCAGGGCATGAGAGGCAGGACAGGAGCGTTGAATCCCCGTAGAAGCCTTCGGGGCATATTGAGGGGATCCAAGGGAACCATGTCTGCTCGTTGCCCTTGAGCCAGTTGCAAGCCACCTGGAACATCGCCTCCCTGGAGGGCATGCCGCTTGTCTTCAAAACATTGCTCTGCGCCATGAACTCCTGAACGTCCTGGTCGAAGAAGTCGAGTTTCGACGCCAAGAAACTGACATGCTTGTCGACGCTCGGGAGATACCTCCACATGTAGTTCCTCGGGTTCATATCCACCAGGCCTGTCGCGTACTTCCCTTGCGCCTGCTCGTAGCCGTTGGGGTCCGGCATCCTGACCCTCACCGGCACGTTGTCAGTCGCCAGCAGGTTGTCGTCCGGCTTGAACCACCCGAACACAAAGTTTCCACCCCTCACTACGTCATAGTAAACCTGGTCGAACGCGCTGGATCCATCCCGAAACTTGACAAGAGCGACGGGGAAGTCAAGGAAGAAGCTCAACTGCAGCATCACGTGGTATTCATACTGCACCATCACCGGCACACACTGAGACGTGTTGCTCCTCCTCCTGCACGCAGGGGAGAACCACACCATGTCCCTGTAGCAGTCCAGCTGGTTATTGCCCGTGAACTTGATGTAGTCCGCCTTGTACCGCAAGTTCCCGTACGTTCCTTGATCCAAGTTCGTGCAGGTTTCGATGTTGCCGATGGGGGTTAGAGCCAGAAGCTTGTCCAAGCTATCGAAGTACTGCTCGGGGTTGTAAGACCCTGCGTTGTAATACCCGTAGAAATCGAGGAAAACCTTGTCCTTCTTGCCCCGTTCAACCGTGGACTGCCACACAAACACCTGATCGACTGTCTTGTAGTCATACACGTTGGCTAGCAGCGGGCGGTACGCGTACGGCAACCCTTGAAGAGTTGCGATGCCCATCGTCCAAGTCTCCACTGACAGGTGGATCGTCGGATTCGCGTTGTTGATCTTCACACATTTCTCAATATCCACACAGCCGGCAAGATACGCCATGGAGACTCCCGTGTTGATCGCAACCCCTGAAAGCGACACCACGGAGTAACCCATCACCTCTTCTAGAAGAATATAAATGATCTCAGCAACGATGCGAGCGGAGGACCAAGACGCGTACGGGAGGGAGACGTTGTGAGCAGAGCCATCGGGATACGCCAGAAACCTCTTCTTGACGTCTGACAAGCGCAAGCCGGCAAACCTGATGTCATCGTACTGGCCGTTGAAACAGCTGTTGGGGTGGTCCACCAGGGTTATCGCTGGCGTGCATGCGACGAGAGAACATTGCGCGATGAATATCAAAGCAATGAAAATGTGAACCAATCGATCTTGTCCAGCAAACCTCGCTAACCCACGAGCCTGTCCAGCAAACTTCGCAACCCAAAGCATTCCTTGCTCAGATGCTATGAAGTCTTGTTGAGAACCCCCCCCAAACATACGCGCTTGCATACTTATTTACGGTGTAAAGATGCTTGAGGCCTATGGTGTTGAAGCATGTCCTTTTGATATGACGGAATATCAAGAGGAATACATTCACATCCTGCAAGTACAAGCGTATGTCGTTGCTCGGTGGTTCTAACAATCCTGCCGTCCGTGCTCTTGAAATCTGGAGCACCCACGAGTCACATTAACCTATCCCCCTCTCCTTGCTGTGATCTACCAGATATCCTCCTTCATCCTCCTACTTCCGTCAATCGATCGAGCTCCACCCCTGCTGCTCCTCGCTCCTGTGCTAGGTATACCGCCGTATCGCCCTCCCCGACATTCGGGGGAATATCGCTGAGTGAAAAATGGGCCCTTTTATATGTTTATTGACTTTTATACTTGCTATGGAATTAAAATACTTATAAAGCTCATGTTCACTTCTTTTGACTTATATAATATACTTATATATATTATAAACACTTAATTCATATATAAAATGTATGAAAATTTTAGATCATCAAAATCTCTGTACCAGGAGCTCATCGGAATCTGTACTATGATACTGGTAATATATGGTAATAACGAAAAAAGAAAATATTTCCCATACCCACGCATTTTCCTGATTTATTTACCACTTTCGACACGGTGGGATATCTTTTTTTACTCGAAATTATACATCAATCAAAATTGAGTAAACATTGCTGCATTAACCGTTCACCGATATATATATGCGTGCCGCCACTCTCCCTGCCAGCAGTATGCTGAACCGTTTTCCTCTGCCCCCTCCACCCCTCCACCCCTCCCCCCTCTCCTGTTCCTGTTCCTGCTCCTCTCCCTTCGTTAGCATGCTCCTCCTGCTCCTCCTGCTCCTCCTGCTCCTCCTGCTCCTCCTGCTCCTCCTGCTCCTATGCTTCGTCCTTCTCGAGCCCTGCTTCTTCGCTCCAACGCCATGCTTCATCCTTATCTCCCAACTCCTCCTGATCTCAGTGCTTCAAGCCGATTCTTACCATCGCCCATCATCAACTATCGTTTCTCATCTTCTTCTCTTCAACTCTGTTCTTCCGCATATTTCATTCCCAACGCGTCGATCGGCTCCCCATGCCATTTCCACATCTACGTACTCTTGTCCTTCTGGAAAGCACACCGATACATTCTAAACTTATACTCATCTTTCTTGGCCTCAAATTTCCACCTTTGCTGCCTGCTCTTGTGCTCCCAGACTCTAGTCTTTCAGCTGTACGCCAGCTTCCATATCCTCGTTCCCTCTCGCTGCGCCATGTCAGACTCTTCTTTCATCTATTCGTTCTGTGGCATTGGTGCGATGAAATATTCCTCTGCTATCCTCTCTTCTTCAAGAAATTCTTTCACTCCAAGTTGTTCTTGTTGTACCAAAACTTCCTTCTCATCGTCATCCAACAGTAGTTCTGTGTTGACTTTTGATGCAATGTTTCGAAATCGCTTTGCTGAAATACCAGTTCCAGGTTGACGAGATGGAATACCTAAAGAAATGAGCTCAAGGGTTTGAAAACAAACAGAACTTCATAAGCTTGCGCGTTGGGGAGATGGATTCCAATGAGGATCCAAAGAATCTCACAAACAGCAATGTACTTGCCGTGGGTAGCAAGCGGCAGCGCGTTCAGGTCTGACATCTGCACATCCTTGAGGATGGTAATAGGGCCTTGCTACAGGTGCAGAGACTTCGATTCAGCGAGCTGGCTTTGAAGAACAATCAGAATTTGACACCGGTGAAGGTCAAGTGAGATGCTTGCCAATATATTTTTTTGATTTGGTCCCGACAGGTGAATCCTGGTGAGAATGGAAGCAATCAAAGCTCTCCATCACCTGGTCTCCCTGAAGCTCTTTGTAAGATCCTTCCTTACATTCTTTTACAGGAAACGCTTCACCGAAGTGGGAGAGTGCTGCCAATAGATTGTGATAGATTAAGTTTCTCAAGACTGACATCCTGTAACTTCATTTGGTCAGGATTGCCAAACAGCGCATTTCCCCTGGAGCAAGAAACTCGAAGGCTAATGGAACCCCGAACTCGAACAAGTCTGCTTCGCTGCCTGGAACGCCTACAGGCCATGGCAGGATTCAAACTCCAGGTGGACAAAACTCGTAGTGATTCTGAGAGAGTGATGTTGGTCGTGCAGAGTTTGATGATGCATCGTCACGCACAAGCCAAGATGATCAAGATCGAACCCCGCGAGCAAGGATGAGTGCAAGGATGAAGCGAGAGAGTCCGAGGACACCAATGGATGGAGGATCACAGAAGTCAATGGACGGAAAGAACTTGGACAAGAGTAATGCAGAGGTGAAGTCAGGAAGAAAATGTTCTCTTCTTGGTTCTTACAACAGCCTTGTATTGGTAGGCTGCTCGGAGTGCAAAGCCTGGCATTCAGATCCAACAGGTTGTCATGCTTTACCTCATGTTTCTTGTCTCAACGCCGGCGTGTAGATTCCAGAGCTTTTTGTGAAGCTGCAATCTGGAGCATCTGTGGAGAACGTGAATGGAGCGAAAGGGCTTTGGACGTTGGTTACGGGAGGGAAGAAGGAGGAAGTTCTGAGCGTCCCTGATTGCCTGGACGTGATGGCTGAGAATCTGAAGACGGTGAGTGACCTGTTCGAATGATGACTCAACAGAGATGGCTGACAACATTATGCAGGGCCCAACCCAATCGAGATTCTTTGTGCTAGCCATCCTTGGAGAATCTGCGTACTTTGACCCAAAGTGGAGCGTGAAGATTTCCAGCCACTCAAGCATCCGGACGGGGGTTGTCGAGGCCATGCGTCATGGGAAAGGAATCGAAGGAGAAGCTTGCAAGGTTGTGCGAAACTGCAGCGCGAACAGTGCAGATAGTGCGAAGTTATGGGCTGAGCAGGAAGGATTTCTTCAAGGTGAGTACAAATGTTTTTTGAGTGAAGTTGTCTGCCTTCTGATCAGTATGATGTGCAGTGATGAAGGGTTGCTTCTCTGCTTCCAGTCACATCAAATCTTGTGTCGTTGGAGCAATTTGCTCCTTGTCACGCTCAGCCGGCGCGGCTTGCGTTATGGAGAGGTTCAATCTGATCCCTGAAGTACGAGTGTAACTTTGCACTCCATCGTTCTCCTGATTTGCCTGCAGGTTTTGGAGCCATGCATCAAAGAAAGGATTGCAGGAGACATCGGAACAGACATCAGGGATCGCAACAGGATTACTGTTGCTTGTGCTGCCATGGCCATACTGAACATCAGGCAAGCGAAGAGCTCCAGTCTAAGCTCGTCCAAGGACAAAGCTTCGAACCTTCCCCACAGAACCAGCACTGAGAGCTTGCGGCCAGCGAACGCGAGGTCGCATGAGGGGGCGGGGGGAGAGCAGAACGAAGGCTATGTGCTGGAGAAGAGGGTGATCATCAACATGGTCCGGATACTCTCATCAGCCATCGACGAGATGCCGTTTGCAGGGGTTAAGTTCTCTCCCGAAGCTGCTCTCTTCTCTTTCCCTGCGGCTGTCCAGCATAGAGCGAACGTGGCAGTTTTCTGTGACCAGGGGCTTGTGGAGCTGCTGCTGTCCCTAATCCAGAGGCATCGGCCAGCAAGTACAGGAGGGGAGGGCGACAGTGCGCAAAAGAGCGATCCGACACAGGCTGATACTGCAGACAAGGTGGAAGGAGGGAAGGACGAAACCAACATCCGGTTGATCGAACTGGCGCTGCAGACGATGTTGACCATGTCGAAGACGGAAGGAGGAGCAGGCCATGAATGCCTGCAGAGGATGAATCTTCTCAACTCTCAGGAACTGCTGCAAGGGCTAGCAGGATGGTCGGTGAATCGTACGGAGGAGGCTCCGAAAGTGGAGCGAGTGGCTCGACTAGCGACAGAAGTGAGGGATTTGTTGTCCCAAGCAGGATCGTAGCTGATCATGAGGCAATACAAGAAATATCATGTGCAAAGTCACTCCGATCTGTTGTACGGCGTCACCAGTCTCCCAGCACTCCGGGAGTGCTGGGACTCTAGAGCCCTAGGCTACGGTCACTGGTCGGACTCGGACCCCGCCGGGCCTGCGATGCGGCTGCCCGTCGAGCGGTCACCATCCACTGCGGTGACGTACCCCTACCCCACGATTTCCCAGCCAGTACCCCTATCAACTGCCCTTGTATTGGCGCCAGACTGATGACAACATTCGCCCTTATCACCCCTCCCTTGTGCCTGGATACGTGGAGAAAGCTGGGGTGGGTGAGCTTGTCCAGGGAAAGCAAGCAGAACAGGAATACGCTCTGAGTAGTTTGAAACGAAAGAATGGGCATCTTCACTTGTGGTTTCTACGACCTCTATGCTGATTTGATGACGATCCTCCCTGCTAAACACGTCATCCTGTTCTACCTAACATCCAAGGAGATCATGCGATGTATCGACAATAATGCCAGGTGCTCTGATATCATCAAATCTCGAGTAAACCAGGCTAGGAGATCATATCGCAAGATTCTTGGTAAAGCTGGATTCGAATTCAAGAAACTTAAACTGATGAATACACCCCCCCTCTCGGACATGCAACTCTTGTCCTTGTATACCTTTCGGATGTGTACAATGTGTTGGAGCCATCCCCTCAACAAGTCAGCGCGGCCTGTGATCGTGGGATTCGGACAAAGGCTATGTTTATCATGTTGTACATGTTTCACACTCGAACAATCTGTCGTCAAAGATGTGTACAAGCTAAGCCTCGAAGACTGTGTACACCTCCCGCACTTGATCGTGGTGTGGGAAGATCAGCGGAGTGAAAGTCGTGTATTTCTGAAGAGCGACATCGAAGAGATTGCAGGACAGCATCTCAGTGCTGATGAGGTTACGATGAAGCTTCGCCAAGCTCACTATGAATGCATCATCAACAAATTCACCACTCTTTGCTTTGCCAGGCTTCAATCCAGAATCGAAAATTTTCAGGCAATCTTTGAACAACTCCAACTGTACCAATCGACAAGGCAGAACCAACGTGCATCAAGGCGTTGATAGCATGATATCGTAATACTGCAATATTTCTTGCGCGCGTGAAAGATGCAGTTTGAATACATTTCACAACTCCGTGTTGTGTATTATAACGACCCAACACTTACACCATCTTACATGTCGTCGTCGAAAGTTCCCATGGAAACATTCGTTGAAGATTCGATAGCACATTTGAAGGCATTGTGGGATGATAAAATAGTGATTTGAGGTCTTCCAGAGCCACTCTATGACTTTCTTGTTCCTGGACGCGGCCTGATTTGAGATAACCCGGAATGTAGTACTGGAAGGGCATGAACCTACCGCAGACAGAGCGTATGTCGACAAATACGACTGAAGGAAAACAAAATGATCTGACATTCATTAACTTCTCCACAACAGAAAAAAAATTAGTGACCTAGCAGCCAACAGCAACTTCAGCAGCTGCCATGACGGAGCTCCCTCTTAGCTTCTTGGTGAAGTGTGAGAGCCCTTCAAGAACCCCTCCTGCCATGGGCAAGCTTGCACGGAAGTGCAAGTCCGGCTTCTCCAGCTTGTGAGCCACCTTGAGCAAGTCCTGGTCGGCGTTGGCGACGCAGATGAAAGGGATCTCAGTCTGCAGGAGGGGAGCGTCGTTCAGAGTGTCCCCAGCAGCGATGCAGCGATGGCTCTCATACCCCAGCTTCTTCCTCAGAAACATGGCGGCGTTGGCTTTGTTTGCCAAGGCAGGAAGCACACAGATCAGGCGGGGAGGAGGATCCGATCCCCACGCTGCCATCGAGTAAATGGTACAGTTCTCCGCGAGCTTGTCCTGCAGCTCCTGCACAACCATCTGTGCCTTCTCCTCCGTCGATACAGTGATCGCATAACGCGCCTCCCCTCGAGGAGGAGAGTTGTCCACATCGTTGAGACTCGGTATCAGCCCTTCGTCGTAAGGGTCGCAGATCGCCTCGACCTTCTCGGCTAGCCCGGATTCCCACCATTGCTCGTTGATCTGACGCTCCCAGTCTTCATCGACTCGGAACTCAGCATTGTCATAGTCAACGCAATATCGGATCTCCGTGCCCTCCCCGGTGATCAACACATCTGGTACGATCAGGTTTGGCGTTCCTCCCCCGTGCAGCGAGTGAGTTCCTTTCCCGATGTTCTCGTTCATCTCTCGTGTTGCCCGCGTCTGGAACAGAGGATTGCAATCCCTGATGCTCCTCGCCGTGTTGTAGCACAACACTGATCCCGTACTCCTCTCGTGCGTTTCCCAGACCGAGTTGAAGTTTTGCAGGTTCGAGTCGTCGCCTATCAAAGTGCCATCGAGGTCGCTCATAAGCAGCACTGAATGATGATGTCCTTTACGAAGGCATGGCGTCATTGGCGATATTGTGCTGCCGCTCAGCCCAACCGCGCACAATATTAACAAACAATAAAAAGATTTCATAAGCTTGTGGTCTCAGGAAAGGAGTTTCCTGGACATACACCGCATCCACCAACTGTGGGACCAACAATTCCACCAGCTGCACGCTATTCGCTTCTCTTCTCCTGTCCTGTCCTCTTTCCTCGTATCCTTCCCTTACTCTCCCTCGCTCTCTCTCTCCTTCTTCGCTTCTTCCTCCTCAACACGTTTGTTTCTCCTCCTTGCTCTTCGCTCCTTCTGTCTTCAAACCTGTTTCAGGAACCTTTCTTGTTTACCACCCCACCCCTACCCCCTGATATTAATAACACCCACCCATCTCCCCCATCAACGATCAACTCGTTTCCTACGCTCTTCCTTCTCATCTCTACCTCACTAATTTCATATATCAGGTATTAATTAATTTTGATGATCCCACCTCCAATTCAAATTTACCACTACTCAAGGTGACGTCATCACAACCCACCCCCCCTTGATCAAAGTCCTACCCGGTATCTAGCACCACGGTTGTACGATATCCCACCAGAGCACCCCCTTCTATTCCCCGAAACGGAGTAACACCTGTACCCTACCCATAAGAGTGTGGTACAATTTCAAACCCCCAACATGACCAATGATGACATAGAAAATACAGGGGGTAGTTCATTACCCCCACCCTCTAATTTCAATCCCCTTTCAGAAGCAGGGGGCACGGCTACAATCTTTGAACCCATTACCCCCTACCCCCTACTGAAAAGCTTCTACTACATTCACCCCCAATTTGTCAACCAATCACAAGAGAAAGGTACCGGCACTTTGAACAAACAAGTACCCCCCACCCCAGGTTTTTGAATCTGAAGTAAGTTTGATCCCTCTTACGTACGAGCACCACATCAATGTTCACCCCCTACCCCCCATTTGTCCACTACCCCCTTTGTGTCTTTCCTTGATTTTGCTCCATACCCTTGTATCTGACACCCCCACCCCCCCAAGTATCCTAGTCCAATTCATATTTGGTCAGGGAACTTGGCGACCGTCACCCTTGTCGAAGCACCCCCCACCCGACAAGTGTACCCCTCCACCCTCTCTGGTACCCTACCCTAAGTAAATACCCGCACGTTCTTCCCCTGCTAGCCCAACGCTCGAGAACGACCACCCCTACCGTCCAGTTTGCTATCCCATGACCCCACCCTGATTTTCTCAAGACAAGGAGTTCTGTTTCTGTACAAAATCTTGACTACCGGTTATTTAGATACTTATTTCATCGAAAAGTACCCGTACATTGTGAAGGTCAGCCATTAACGTGGTACTGTTACGATACCCCCACCCCCTTTCTCCCGGCACCCTCTTCGACCCACCCCTTCTCGTATCTAACCGAATATGCTCTTCCCCGTGTCCATGAAATCCTGTGGAACTCATTTAATAGGATCCTAGGAGTGAACTGAACATTTCCAAATTCTCAGTCCGACGGTCACCCGGAGCCCAAGACGCCGGGTCCCGGAACGACGGTGACCGGGCCGGGTGACGCTGGAGCAAAACTTGCCACTGTCTTGTTGCAACTAAGGTCGTTATGATCATCGGATGTCGGTACGGTCTGCATTAAGTTGCTGCCCCGCGGCTGACTCACTGAGTGCGCAGCGCCGGGGCGGGCGCACTGTTCTGAGTCTGCCGGCCCAGGGCCAGTCCGAGCCCCGAGCCTGACCCGGCGCCCGGCCGCCGCTGTCCGACGGTTGCGGCCCAACTGCCGCCGCAGCTCGCCGGGACCGTGCCGGGCCGCCGGGCGGCGGCTTAGTGTGTACTAAGTTTCCGGAAACTTTTGTTGGCCCGTTCCATTTGACGTTTGACAATCTTGACTACTACGGTGGTCATCAAAGATGCGAGGTTGGCTGGACAAGTGGAGGGAGCAGGTGAAGGGAGGAAGCGGGGAGACACATAAGTCTATCGGGCATGAGGAGAAGAGTTCGGTCAAAGACGATCACCAAACACCGAGTTCTGAGTCAGGAGTACTAGGGGGAGGGGGAGGGGGACGGGAAGGTGAAGATGGTAGTGGAAGCGGAGGACAGCATGAAGTAGCCGACGAAGACAAGAAGAAGAGAAAAGACAGCATTGCAGTGGAGGACATGGCATGGGGCAACGGCATGCTGTGCCCATATTGCTCTATTCCATCCTTCATCGCACGATGCTGCAAGCTGAGGTGAGATGTGAAGGGAGAGGCTCTTCTCTGACGGGTTGAGCTTCCGTATGCAGGAGCAGCGAGCCTCTTCGATGGTCGCATGCACAAGTGCTGGAAGCGCTTGATGTGCTCAGCACACACAGGCATGCTCTGGCGAGACAACTAGGAAGCCTCCCTGGCAAGGAAGACAAAGCCGGAGGGAAGCTTAGGTTTTGCTTCGAAACCCAGCAGGTGGACGGGGAAAAGATGTTTGCAACGGCGATGGGCAAGGAAGCTGATGCCAAGACGTTCAACCGGTCAGGGAGGAGGCGGATTGACAATGGCAAACTGACTCGCTCCCTCAAGGTTCGTCCTTGACCAACGCATGAAGACGTGGGGCGTTCAGGTCTCAGACCATCGCGCTCTCATCACCTCCTTTGCCGTCCTTCTATGCCGCCCGGAGTATCGGAGGATCTTCAGCGTGGAAGGGAGCGAGCTAGAGTCCTCCCACCCGAGGATGCAGTGCCTGGTCCACTTCGTCCGCTCTCCCTCCAGCTTCGGCATCAAAGTCGATTTTCAGCCGTCGGAAGTCGCAAACATTCAGTTCATGGCAATCGAAGAGCTTTGCAGGCTGTTGGAGCGCGAGGCCGCAAGGCAGAAAGTGAGTGCGTTGATCCCTTGGGCATTCGCCTGTCATTCCCTTGTCTTCCACGTCCCCGCTTCCGTATCCTACAGATTCGTTGTTACTATCCTGACTTTCTTTGACCACGTCTCCTCCTTCTTCCTCGTCCTCGTCCTCTGTTCACTTCCCTTCCGTATCTCCCTCACTGAATCCAACCTCTCTCCCCCTTCTGCTCCTGTCACCCTGAACCCGCCGCAGCTTCTTCGGACAGATTCGAGTCTTCTTGACCTCCTCCTGCTGATTGTCAGCTGTCAGAGCAGCGACAGGCCCCCAACAGACCAGAAGTCCAACGATCAATTGCATCAGCATCTGCATGAAGAAAGGTTCCTGGTGGCCACGGTGAGATTTCCTGCAGACCTCTTGCGTGTTCTCAGGTTTCGCATGAGAGTGACGTATGTTATCAAGCTTGCGGGGCTTGAGAGGATAGCGCTCGACGGCAGCAATGGGGTTGTGCTGGTCAGCAAAGGGTTCCATACCTTCGTAATCTCCTCTCTTGGCTCATCGGGTGAGAATGGCAGCGGGGACCGAGGGTATGTGACGGGTTTCCCAGCCATGGCGATGGATTTCCTGCTCAAGGCGAACATATTCCGTGGGAGATCCATATCGCTCTCGTTGTTGCAGACTATGCAAGTGAGAGCATGTGAAACTGGATGAGAGTCGGGGGGTTTCCTGTACCTCCCTGCCATCTCCGTCTTCTCTCTCTTCGCTTCTTCTGTCAGATTCCCCTTCCCTTTCTCCGCATCATCCCTCGCATGTTGACATGTTTCACACCTCCGTCTCCGTCGTCTCCTCACCGACTCTCCTGACCTTCAAACCTTCAGTCTTCTCTCCTCACGATCCTCAACGGCATCGCGCAGACAGAGCGGGCGAGAAGGAATCTCCTTGAAGCAGGTCTGCTCCACCACTCTACCTCTCCTACTCAGGCAAGCGGTCGCAGGAGTCGTAGCTCCTCTCCTCCCCTTCCTGTCCAACTCGGACTATCTAGGGAGCGAGCGCTCGCTGCTGGCCATGCAGGTGGTGAGGAAGCTGTCAGAGGGTGCTCGAGAAGGTGAGGGGGCATGTTGTGTCGAGGAGCTGCTGATCAAGGGCGGGATAAGGGAGGAGAGAAGATGCGAACAACGGCCATGAGGAGGAAGGGAAAGACGAGGAGGGCAGGGAACAGGAGGAGGAGGAGGAGGAGGAGGAGAAGAACGTCGAGACTCTGGTCTTCCTATCTGGTATTGTTCCATTTGTTCTCCAACGAATTCTACACGCGAGCAAACGACCGGCAGCTAGAAATCAGTGGAAGAAGTTCACAGACGACGAGGTCCCCTATGCTGCTCCACAGTCCTCATCTCCCTTTCTGTTCCACTCCCTCCCTCCTCCTCCCTCCTCCTCCCTCTTCTTCCTCCTCCCTTTCCCGTTCACTTCTTTCCTCCTCCTCCTCCTCGTGATGTTTACTTCCAGTAAGACCCCTCCTCACTTCAATCTTGAATTTCCTTACTCCCATTCTCTCCCCCTCTCTCCTCCTCTCCCTCTCCTGTCTCTCTCTGTTCCTAACTCCTTCTCACCCCCCCCCCTCTCTTCCGCCGCTTCCTCTCTCCCCATATGTCTTGTACCTCACTGCCAGGGCAGGTGCGACGAGTCTGGTCCATCGGAGCGGAGGGCTGGCAGAGCCTCGTCGAGCTTTGTAAGTCCCGATCAGCACTGGGAGCTGGGCAGGAGCTGGGCGTGTTGAAACAGCTGGAGGAGACGCTGAAGACTGTCCTGCTGGCCTCCTCGGAAGACTACTTGATGAGCATGAGGCTGCTAGCTTCCGGTGGGAGGAAGGGAGAGAGAGGAGAGGAGAGGAGAGGAGGGGAGGGGAGGGGAGGGGAGGGGAGGGGAGAGGAGAGGAGAGGAGAGGAGAGGATAGGAGGGGATGAGATGTGATGAGATGGGATTGGAGAAGCAAGGAAGAGGATAGGATAAAAGAGGAGAGGAGAGGAGAGGAGGGGAGGGGAGGGGAGAGGAGAGGAGAGGAGAGGAGAGGAGAGGAGAGGAGGGGAGAGGGAAGGAGAGGAGAGGAGAAGGGGAAGAAGTGTGAGACAAGGAGGGGAGCAGGAGAGTGCGATAGAGAAATGAAGACAGCAGAGGCGGGAGGGAGAGATGAGGGACAGGAGGAGGTCAAAAGTTTCTGCTGACGTTTTGTGGAAGTTGTCGTGCTCAAGTTGTCAAGGAGCTGCGGAGTTGACTGCATCGAAAACAAAGGAGGAGGAGGAGTAGACGGAGGAGGAGGAGGAGGAGGAGCAGAGGAAGGGGAGGAGGAGGAGGTAGATGGGGAGATCCTGTCCAAGTATTCACAGATCAGCTTGCTTTCCTTGAAAGCGTTGATGAAGGCGGCGGATGAGTCGTCGGACCTGCAAAGATCTCTACAAGGTGAAGTGACTGCAAGGAAGGAGATTCGGGAATGATCTGTCCTCCTCCTTGTCCTCCTCCTTGTCCTCCTCCTTGTCCTCCTCCTTGTCCTCCTCCTTGTCCTCCTCCTTATCCTCTTCTTGTTTGCAGGAGGGAGCGGAGGTCAGCCAGTCCGCCATAGGAAGGAAGGATTATCGTCGATGATGCTCAATCTCTTGCAGGCGGTGCGTGAGGAAGGGAGGATGAAGCTGAGGAGGTTGAAGCTAGTTCTGCTGTCAGGTCAGAAATTTCTGCCTGAGCTCGGGGCTCGGGGCCGTTCTGGTGCAAGACGGTTTGCTCGTTCATCTCGGAAAGTTTGTGGAGAGCGAGGAGAAGTTGATACAGCAGGAATGTGCTGCCGTCTTGTACAACCTGCAGGTGCGGAGAGGAGACGAGGAGAGGGGGAGAGGAGACGAGGAGAGTAGACGAGTAGACGAGGAGAGGAAGGGAGGAGGAGAGGAGGAGAGGAGGAGAGGAGGAGAGGAGGAGAGAAGACGAGGAGACGAGACGAGGAGAGGAGAAGTGGAAAAGAAGAGAAGAGTTGCATTACGATTGGAGCAGAAGAAGGAGGAGAGAAATGCAGAAGGAGAGAAAGGGACAACATGTGGATAAGGAGAGGAGAACAACAAGTCAATATGCAGATTTCTTTGACTCCTGTTCACAATCAGTTCCACTCTCTGCCCTTTCAGCAGTTTGGTTTTAAGTCGTCTGCAAGGCAAGCTTGACTTGTTTCCACATCGAACATACTGCTCATGGTTGTACCTCAGAACTTCTCAAGTCGTTTCCAACGATCTACGCGTTCACCGTGCGGTTTTAGTTGGGTATGTACGAACATTGATGAGAACCAGCGTCTCCGGGATGAAGATCGCGGGAGGAATCAACGAAAGTTCTTTCTCCTGCTCCTCGGAGGATGGAGAGGTTTCAGCGATCAGCGTGTGCTGTTATGCTCTCCTGTGGCTGGAGACGAAGGAGAAGTCGGTTGACCAGCTATGGATAGACGCCAACTTCCGGCTAAGAGAGGAGGAGAGAGATCCTCGGAGAGGTTCGAATCTCATGTTCACTGCTGCTTCTGCTGCTGCTGCTGCTCCTCCTCCTCCTCCTCCTTCTCCTTCTCCTCCTTTTCAACCCTCTCACTCCTTCTCTCCTCCTCTCCTCCTCTCCTCCTCTCCTCCTCTCCCCTCATACTCTCTCCCCTGCTCTCCTCTTTGCTCTCCTCTTTCTCTCTTTCTCCCCGTTGCCGTATTCTTCTGGACCTCCCTGTATCGTTCTCCCGCCTATCATCCCTTGCCCTTGCCCCTGCCCTGCCCTGCCCTGCCCTGCCCTGCCCTGCCCTGCCCTGCCCTGCCCTGCCCTGCCCTGCCCTGCCCTGCCCTGCCCCATCCTCAGCCAGTCCTTCACTTGCAGCGCAGAGGTCAAATGGGACAAGCAGATCAACGACATCGTCGAGCTTCTCTTCCACTGGATGAGGTGGAGGAGGCAGCGCGAGCGTGATCTTCCTCCTCCTTCCAACCCCCTCCATCCCTTCGGCCTCGTTGCTGTCCTCAGAGTCCTCTCACTGTCCAACGACATCAGACAAGGTTGGCTCCTCTCTCGAGTCCTCCTCCTGTCCTCCTGTCCTCCTGCCTCCTGCCCTCCTGCCTCCTGCCCTCCTGCCTCCTCTCCCTTTCTTGTGTTCTCAATTTCCATCTTTTCTCCACTATGACTTTCATGTCATGCTCCTGCCTCCTACTCCTACTCCTGCTCCTGCTCCTGCTTCTGCCTCCTGCTCCTGCTCCTGCTCGTGCTCGTGCTCGTGCTCCTGCTCGTGCTCCTGCGCCTGCGCCTGCTCCTGCTCCTGTCCTTCCCTTCCCACTCTACTCTGCATCCCCTTCCTGACGACTCGTTCTTTCAGCGTATGTTCGT